TACTACTACTACTACTACTAATAATAATAATAATAATAATAATTATTATTATTATTATTATTATTAGTAGTAGTAGTAGTAGTAGTATTGGTATTAGTATCATTATTATTGTTGTTGTTGTTGTTGGTACTCATAAACATCACTAGAAGATGGAAGTTGCAGTTCTGCAAAATCGCTGTGAGTGGCGCTACAATACTAATCATCGCTAACTGTCCTGTTGAGCAGGTTCACTTCATGGGCTGGCGTATCAGACATCACTCTGGCTTTGAACAATGAACAACCACGACGATTTTAGATCTGTCTGTTAATTTGTCATTTGGAATAGCATACATGAGTTGACCGCATTTGCTTAAAACTATTTTCATTGGTGTTCAGAGGAAGCATGGCAAGAGAAAATAAAATAATATGGATGAGCAAGATTTTTTATCTGATATGTTTGCTGTTCAATTCCGGAAGAAATGCTACCCAGATAAATTATTCCCTTCGAGAAGAATCAAAAACTGGAGTCATTGTGGGGAACATTGCAAAGGATTTAGGGATTGACCCGGCTTTACTGGAAAACAGGAATTTACGTATCGTTACGGGGACAAAGCAAGAGCTCTTTCGGATAAATCATGAAGACGGCGCTTTGTTTGTGAACCAGAGAATAGACAGAGAAGAGCAGTGTGCTAAAACCAACCCATGTCTTATTCATCTCAAAGCAGTGATAGAAAACCCACTCGAAATGCACCAGATATCAGTTGACATTATCGATGTCAATGACAATCCACCGAGTTTTTTAGACGAAAACCATAAATTGGAAATACTTGAATCTGCAATGACAGGGGCACGATTTCAGTTAGAAACTGCGCACGACCCGGATATAGGCTCAAACGACTTGCAATCATATAAACTGAGCCAAAATCTTTATTTTCGTTTAGAAACGGAAGACATGGGAGACGAAGGTAAGATTCCTGTTCTCATTTTACAAAAACCTCTTGACAGAGAGAAAATCGCAAGACATAACCTAACATTAACTGCGACGGACGGTGGCAAGCCACAGAAATCAGCTACTGTAAATATTACTATTGTTGTGTCGGACATCAATGATAATGCCCCAGTTTGTGATAAGCAAAAATACACAGTAACAGTAAAAGAAAATGCCCCTGAAGGTACATTTCTGCTGCGCGTTAATGCTTCGGATTCAGATGAAGGACTGAATGGAGAAATTGAATACTCTTTACGGAACAAGTTCAGGAACGGAGCATCTGAGGTTTTTGATTTGGATAGTTTGACGGGGGAATTAAAGATAAAAAGTGGGCTAAATTTTGAGGAAAGGCAGGTTTATGAGCTAAAGATACTGGCTGCGGATAAGGGGACCGTGTCTTTGTCAACACAGTGTAATGTGCTTGTAATTGTTGAGGATGTCAACGACAACCGGCCTGAGATTGACGTCACGTCAGTGTCCAGCCACATTTCGGAGGATGCGCCTCCTGGGACTGTAGTGGCTTTGATGGGAGTTACAGACCTGGATTCAGGTATGAACGGAAAGATGGTTTTCTCTCTGCCTAAGGATATTCCTTTTGACCTCAAGCCGTCGCCTGATGGAAACTTTTATTCTTTGGTAACTAAAGAATACATTGACAAAGAATCGAAATCGTCTTATGATATCACTATAACAGCCAAAGATTTAGGAACTCCGTCGTTAACATCAACAATATCCATTCACGTCGATGTCACTGATGTTAACGACAACAGCCCCACATTTGCTCAAAGCCCATATACATTCTACGTGGCTGAAAACAACAAACCAGGAATTGCCGTTTTCTCATTAAGTGCAGTTGATATAGATGAAGGTGAAAACGCACGTGTATCGTATTCAATTGATCGAATGAATTCAGACCAAAGCATGACATCTTTCGTCAGTATTAACGAGGCTAATGGTACCGTTTACTCACTGAGGAGCTTTGACTTTGAGTCTTTAAAAACATTTAAATTCTTTGTTGTGGCCAAAGAGGCTTTTGCAGCTACTGATGTGAAAAACGCAGTAAAAGACGAGGAGGAAAACAACGCGACATTTTATTTGATCATCACTTTGGGCTCGGTTTCAGTGCTTTTTGTCATCAGCATCATCGTGTTGATTGTAATGCAGTGCTCTAAATCGACAGACTATTCATCCAAGTATTTACAGGACACAAATTACGACGGGACTATGTGTCACAGCATCCAGTACAGATCTGGAGACAAACGGTACATGTTAGTTGGACCCAGAATGAGTGTCGGCTCTACTATAGTCAGTAATGGAAATACTCTAGTGATCCCAGATCGCAGGATGAGAGATTCTGGAGAGGTAAGATTCATCTTCAATAATACTATTTTGATATGTTTGCACGTGTGTGTACGCCTTTCGAAGAGCTGTCCTTGGTGCTGAAATTCGAATCCATGCATTCTCACGAACTGCTTCCCTGATAACGTTTCGTCTCACAATATAACTTTTTTTCTTCTCAAGAACATAAACTGCTATTTTAGCAGTGATGGAAAACCAGAAGGTATTAAAATAAATGACACTGTGACCAGAGTGGTTGAAGATTTTTTTTAGAAATAATTTGTGGTTCATGGAACTGAATGTGAATATGAGCTTGGTTACAAATGGACCTGTTCCAGTTTAAAACATGATTTGAAAATGGAAAAACAAATGTAATATTTAGCATCTGTTGTATATTTAAGAAAAAGTAAAAAAATAAAAAAATAAATCATGGCATAAACCACTGGCATCATTATTTAAAACCACATCAGCAGTAAAACCACATTCAGCTGAGCGCAAATACGTTTATCCATTGTTGTGAAAATCTGAACATAAGGCCAAAATGGCTATAATGCAATTTAAGAGTTGCAACACTTTGGCTGCAGACATGCACTTGTACTCTCAGACACCTGCGCTTCCGCAAGTGACGTCACTTGCAATTTAAAAAATATATATTTTATTTATTTATTTTTATTGAATCTCTCAGAATGTTTGCATTGCAGATATGCACTTGCACTCTCAGTAGAGTGGCCATATGTGCCGTTCATACAGGACACGTCCTGGCCAGGATTGTTATATTGCCTAAAACATCCAAAGTAGTTTGACCAATAACATGCAGGCATTGTATATAATCGACCAATCGTGGCGCGTGAGAAGGTGAGATCTACAGAGAACTAGCAAAGCGATGCAAATACGCGCACGTGTTTGTTCGTTCGTTCGACTTGAAGCGTTGCTGCGCACCGATCATTGAATGACACCAAAGTACCGCGAGAGCGATTCGAAAGCATAAGGAGCCGTCTGCTCTGCTCTCTATAGCTCTCGTGAATGTCATACAACGATCGATCTGCACAGTGCAAACAGCCCAAACCTGGATATTTTAGGCAATATAGAAATCCTGGCAAGGACGCGTCCAGTAAAAATGGCCCGTATGGTCACCCTAACTCTCAGACGCTTGCGCTTCCACAAGTGACGTCACTTGAAATCTTTTTTTAATTTAATTTAATTTTACAACAGTAGCTAGGTGGTGAAGACAAGGATAAATAAACAAAATTACAATGTAATTTGCAATCGCCACCTGCTACCTAAGTCACTTGCAATCGACACAAATGGTGCGTGTTGCCAATGGAGACGAGACGCTGTGCTGGTTAAATGATTAAAACTAAATTAGTACCATAACGTACAGCAGGTACAAAAAAAGTTTGGCCTTGCTAATTTCAAATAATGTGGCATGAAAATTCAAACGCAGCATCAGAAAGCTACATTAACTTACATCGTGTCTACACCGGACGCGAGCGGCGCGGCGCGTTGCAAAAAAAATACAAGAACTCGTTATAATCATCAGTGATGCTGTCTTGGATGCTGCGCGACACGTGTCAGTGGCCCTTGGCTTGGTATTGTTGGCAGAATTCGGCCCTCGGCGAAAACGAATTGAGGAACCCTGACGTACAGGGTAGGCCTACTGCAAGTCACGTGTAGGAGAAAAAGACAAGACCCGCAAATCCGTGGCGTTTTCCTCCCGTAGAAAATCATAAACACTTAATATGGCTTAATGTAAAAGGTAATTCGATATACAGTTAATTAATATAATGTACTACAAGGCAAGCAGATGGCCAGCATATGAACACAACGTACAATTTAACGCATTGCGTTCTGAGCTCGTCTTCTTGCGTGTATGGATTTGATCCTTTTGATATCACTTTCTTAATGCATTTCTTAATACACGCTCATCTACGAGTGCTCTGTAGTAATCGTAAAGCCCGAAGTGCATTGTAAGAAGACAGTTATGAGGTTACCTGCAGGACAATCGGCAGATTGCACCTTTAACTTTATTCAAGTGCATATAAGATTTTGATTGTACTTCTCTTTATTACTCTTTTATTGTTTAAATGAATTTAAAAATGAAATAATTAAAACGAAAAGGAAAGAAAATTAAAAAATTTAAATATACATAAATATGTATACAAAGAACAGTGCTGATAAAACATGTCTGCAATACACTTTTTTTTTGTCTGTACCTATATAAATGTATTGGCTAAATCAAGTAAAAAAAAATGTGTGCTACTATCACCCTTAATGTATACACTTTATATATTAATAATATCTAAACTTACATGTTTATGTTTGAAAATATATATATCAACCATTAGTCATTCACTTCAGAAACACTTGGAAGAACTCATAAGTACTCTTATAGTATTTCATAGGGCCTTAAGCCTTGGGTGGTTCAACAAACACATGGCCATCAAAAACTTTGAATCAACATGGTTTTATTGATTTGAGTCAATGAGCTGCTGTTGAAATTTTTTGTTCCTCTTATTGGCCTCTTTAAGACATTGTCTAATGTCTGTCAAGATATGTCTCCAGCTGCACTGACTAGGCTACAACCACAGACATTCTCAAACTGCTGAGGTGTTGTGGCTGCGGTCTGGACAACTGAAGATGGAGGCTGAGGCCTGAGAGGGTTGTTTGGAGTACTAGGAGATGGTTGGTGCAGGGAGATGGCAGGTGAAACTGATGCCGGTTGTCCTGCAGGTGACCTCATAACTTGTCTTCTTAAGATGCACTTCGGGGGCTTTACGATTACTCCAGAGCACTCGTAGATCTGGGATGATTTTCAAGTGCAACTTAAGTTACGATGCTTTTAGGAAACAGACAGTTATACTAAAATCAGTCGTACGATCGTTTTTACGATCTACTTAGGCTTACGATGCTTTTGAGAAACGCAGCCCTGGTTAGTTGTATTATGATTTGCGTTAAAGCGAGTGAAGTCTGATACATGCATTGACAGGTGGATTCTAATGTTTCCTATCCCTGAATTTCTTTATGATCGGATATATTCTCAGTTAGCCTCATGGTGTCAGTATTATACAAGGAAACCTTTTTAAATACTGTCCCTCCTCTTCGAGACGTCACACCGTTGTTCCTTTCCACAAAAAGCGCAATTCTGTTGTTATTGAAACCTAGGATACCTTGTTGTCTGCGTGGATTATAGTGAATTGTTTGAAAAAAAAATTGACATTTTATAACATCTCGGAGATTTCGCTCATGAAGAAATCACAAGAGCAACAATAATTTGTTTTTTGATAAGCGTTTGAATCATGATGGAACACGAAGGACAAAGGAGCAGATGGGAGTGCTGGTGGATCGCTTTGTGTTTCTCTTTTCTGCTGTACTTCGGAGAGCATGTTTCAGCTCAGATAAGATACTCTATTCCAGAGGAGGTAAAAGATGGAACCGTCGTTGGAAATATTGCGAAGGATTTGGGCCTAGATGTCGGTGCTTTGGCGGACAGGCGGTTCCGTATTGTATCTGGATCCAATGATGATTTTTTTCAGGTAAATCAGAACGGCGTCTTGCACGTTCATAAGAAAATCAACCGAGAGGCGCTGTGTGATAGTCATAGCGCATGCTTCATAAATCTGAAGATTGTTGTAGAAAATCCTCTTGAAATACATTATATTGCAGTGGAGGTGACCGATGTAAATGACAATTCGCCCAGTTTTAGTGAACACGAGAAACGATTGGAGATTTCAGAATCGACTGCTGGAGGGATGCGTTTTCAGCTTAAAGCCGCGCGTGACCCGGATGCAGGGGTAAATTCTATTCGTACATACAAATTAACCCAAAATGAACACTTTGATCTGGAAGTCAGAGATCAGGGAGAAGATAAACTGCCATTTTTAATTTTACAAAAATCTCTTGACCGTGAGATCAATGATGAATATCATTTAGTTTTAACAGCAGTTGATGGAGGAAATCCACAAAGATCAGGAACTCTAAATGTTACAGTTGTTGTTCTTGATAACAATGACAACAGACCTGTTTTTAGCCAAGATATATATTCAACAAATTTAAAAGAAAATATACAAGTTGGAACGCTAGTCATACAGGTTCAAGCAAGTGATGCAGATCATGGCTCAAATGGAGAGGTTACCTACGCGTTTGGCAGCGATCAGAACCCAAAGGTGTATGAAATATTTAGTTTGGATAAACTGACAGGTGACATTCGCGTGAAAGGCGATGTAGACTTTGAGGAGAAATCCATTTACAAACTTGATGTTCAAGCATCTGATAATGGCCAGCCCCCTATGAAGACAGATTGTAGAGTTGTCATCAAAATTTTAGACACAAACGATAACACACCCGAGATCGATGTAACGTCACTGTCGAAAATGGTGTCTGAAGACTCCAAGCCTGGTACTGTAATCTCACTCATTAGTGTTACTGACAGAGACACTGGTGTTAATGGAAAAGTTATGTGCTCTCTCTCAGAAAACGTTCCATTTGAATTAAAACAATCAGTTCAAGAAAACATGTACTCGTTAGTGACTAAAGGGAGCCTGGACCGTGAAACTGTATCACATTATGACATTACAATAACAGCGAGCGACTTAGGTCAGCCTCCACTGTCCTCATATAAAACTCTGAGCGTGCAGGTGTCAGATGTTAATGACAACCCGCCTAAATTTAGCCTAAATCCCATCGAATTATATATAATTGAAAACAACGCTGCAGGCGCGCCCATTCTCACGCTGAGTGCTTTTGACAAAGACCTAAATGAAAACTCTGTGATTTCATATCAGATTATTAAAGGAAATGGGACACAAAGGGACATTACATCTTTTCTAAATATTAATTCTGAAACAGGCGCAATTTATGCACTTAAAAGTTTTGATTTTGAGACTTTCAAAACCTTTCAATTTTACGCGCTCGCTACAGACTCTGGAACTCCATCTCTGAGCAGTAACGTGACAGTGAACGTGTTTATTCTGGATCAGAACGACAACGTTCCAGTGATCTTATATCCAGTCAGCGCTAACGGTTCTGCTGAGGGTGTGGAAGAGATTCCCCGTAATGTGAACGCAGGTCATTTGGTGACTAAAGTCAGAGCCTATGACGCAGATATAGGATACAACGGCTGGTTATTATTTTCACTGCAGGAAGTTAGTGACCACAGTCTCTTTAGTTTGGACCGCTATACAGGACAGATAAGGACCCTTCGCTCATTCACAGAAACAGACGAGGCCCAGCATAAACTGCTCATACTGGTCAAAGACAATGGGAACGTTTCACTCTCAGCAACAGCGACTGTGATTGTCAAAGTTGTGGAGCCCAAAGAGGCTTTTGCTGCTTCTGATGTGCAAAACGCAGTAAAAGACGAGGAGGAAAACAACGTGACATTTTATTTGATCATCACTTTGGGCTCGGTTTCAGTGCTTTTTGTCATCAGCATCATCGTGTTGATTGTAATGCAGTGCTCTAAATCGACAGACTATTCGTCCAAGTATTTACAGGACACAAATTACGACGGGACTATGTGTCACAGCATCCAGTACAGATCTGGAGACAAACGGTACATGTTAGTTGGACCCAGAATGAGTATCGGCTCTACTATAGTCCCGGGCAGTAATGGAAATACTCTAGTGATCCCAGACCGCAGGAGGAGAGATTCTGGAGAGGTAAGAATGGATTATTCATGATTGTTGCACTGTTTGATTTAAATTTGTCTTTTGACGTTGTTTGGGCTGTTTTTAAGGTAGATTTGTGACAGGTATTGTCTTTTGCTGTGCGAATCTGCTGTATATTGTCTAATAAAACTATTTTCTCTTCTCATCATTAATACAATATTAAGAATGATGTTTATTTGTTTCAGTAGGACTCTGTGTCACAGCAAATGGTAGCCTATATGTTAGTTGGACCCAGCATAACTATTGGAAATATGTATGTGGCGATTTCTTTACATGAATTTGTCTCGGACATCAATGGAAATACTTTAGTGATACAATGTAGAGGTGGTGGAGAGCTAATCTGTTTGTGTTTTTTTTTAATCATTTTGTATAATGCTTTGTAAGATCTGCCCTGTTTATTTACCATCTCTCTGCGACATTTATGCGTGAGGCTCAAGTGACAAATGGCATGTATTCGCTCTTATAGGGAAAAAATTGCATCACATTATACGGTATTATCATCATTTGCCTAATTTGTTCTTATACAAAAATATAGTTTTTTTCGGCTCACGACTGTGTATTTCGTGAACTAATTTATTTTGTGTCACCATTTTAAATTTTATGGAAAAACGTATCAAAAGTTGTTCTTATAGGTGACAGAATTAATTAGTTCATGAGTTCATAGCAGTATGGAGACGTATAAAAAATTAAATAAACTGTATTTTTATTTTGAATTAGTAATGATACGACCTGCTTGCTACTTCTTGCGCGGAAATATGTCAGTGGTACTGAAATTTGCTGTGACATATTGGATTGTAAGGTTTTGCGGTTTATGTTTATCAGGCTATATATTTTGTAGCTAAATGTCAAACAGGCATAGCCTATGTGCTATATATTGATGTTTATTTAAAAAGCCATATCTGTATATGGATCGAATATTTGCTCTCCATATGCATCATACAAAGATCAAATATATTATAGTTTAAGTGCATAGAATTATATTTAAAGTCTTGACATGCTGTAGTGGACCTCATGATGTCAGTATTACACAAGAAAACGTTTTTTTGGGGGGGGCAGGGATCTAGTTTTCATCACACAAACCCAAGCTAGAGCGCACTGACTGCTTTTTCAGTCGGAGCATATACACACAAGAGTTGGTTCCGTGATTTTCGAGCAAAATATGTTTTAATATTCGACCCCGAATCATTTGAAAAAATCCATGCGGTAACTGTGAGGAGAATCAGTTTACACTTGTTCCACAGACGACGGTTTTCAGCATGGATGCTGGGAAACAAAGGCGCAGATGGGAGTACTGGTGGATTTCTCTGTGTTTCTACTTGCTACCGTGCTTCGGACAGCGGGTTTCAGCGCAGCTAAAATACACTATTCCAGAGGAGGTAAAAGAAGGATATGTTGTGGGAAATATTGCAAAGGATTTGGGTCTTGATGTCAGTACATTGGTGGACAGACGTTTTCGTATTGTTTCTGGATCAAATGAGGGCCTTTTTCAGGTAAATCAGAACAATGGCATCTTGTATGTGGAAAAGCATATCGACAGAGAGGCGCTGTGCGTTGAAAATGTTGCTTGCTTGATAAGTCTGAAAACTGTTGTTGAAAATCCTCTTGAAATTCATTATGTAGAAATAGAAGTTACCGATGTAAATGACCATGCACCCAATTTTGCTTATAAAGACGTCCTGTTAGAAATCGCAGAATCAACCCTACCGGGTGAGGACTTTCAATTGCAGGAAGCAAAGGACCCTGATTCAGGCATAAATTCTGTTCGTTTTTATAAACTGAGCCAAACCGAGTATTTTGAACTTGAGCTTCGCGAAAATGGGGGAGAGAAAAAGGTCCCCGTCTTGAAATTACGTAAATTGCTTGACAGGGAGCATCAGGTCACTCACAGTCTAATACTGACTGCTGTTGATGGTGGGAATCCACCAAGATCAGGGAGTATCATTATTAATGTCACGGTGCTGGATGATAATGATAACAGGCCAAAATTCAGCCAAGAGTTTTATTCTGTCACATTGCAAGAAAACGCTCCTGTTGGTACTCTTGTCATTAAATTGAACGCCACTGATTTAGATGAAGGTCAGAATGGAGAAATAGTTTATGCATTCCTGAAAAATATCGAAAAACATATTTACGCCACCTTTGATTTGGACCAAACAGGTGAGATTAGGGTAAAAGGTGATTTGGATTTTGAGAAAAATAATGTTTATAGAGTCGGTGTTATGGCGTCAGATAAAGGCCAACCACCGAAGACAAGCAACTGTCGAATTATCATTAAAGTGACTGACGAAAATGATAATGGACCAGAGATAGAAGTTACCTCACTGTCTGATGTAGTTCCCGAAGATTCAAAACCAGGAACAGTTATTTCACTTGTTAGTATTACTGATAAAGATTCGGGCGTCAATGGCAAAGTTGTTTGTAAAATATCTGACAATGTGCCTTTTGAGCTGAAGTCATCATTTAAAGAAAATATGTACTCTCTTGTGACGAATGCTAAGTTAGATAGAGAAGCAGTGTCAAAATATGATGTCACAATAACAGCCACAGATATTGGTCAGCCCCCTCTTTCCTCAGTCAAAACATTGAAAGTGCAGATATCAGACGTGAACGATAATGCTCCAGAATTCCTTCACAAACCGTTAGAACTTTACTTGATGGAAAATAACCCACCAGGAGCCTCCATATACTCTGTTAGCGCCTTCGACAAAGACCTGAATGAAAATGCTGCAATAACCTATCAAATAATTAGGGAAGATAGAGCAAAAAGTCATATGTCGTCTTTCCTTAATGTAAATTCAGACAACGGACATATAAATGCGCTTAAAAGCTTCGACTTTGAAACTGTAAAAACGTTCCAGTTCCATGTTGTTGCTGCAGACTCTGGAACTCCGTCTCTGAGCAGTAACGTGACAGTGAACGTGTTTATTCTGGATCAGAACGACAACGTTCCAGTGATCTTATATCCAGTCAGCGCTAACGGTTCTGCTGAGGGTGTGGAAGAGATTCCCCGTAATGTGAACGCAGGTCATTTGGTGACTAAAGTCAGAGCCTATGACGCAGATATAGGATACAACGGCTGGTTATTATTTTCACTGCAGGAAGTTAGTGACCACAGTCTCTTTAGTTTGGACCGCTATACAGGACAGATAAGGACCCTTCGCTCATTCACAGAAACAGACGAGGCCCAGCATAAACTGCTCATACTGGTCAAAGACAATGGGAACGTTTCACTCTCAGCAACAGCGACTGTGATTGTCAAAGTTGTGGAGCCCAAAGAGGCTTTTGCTGCTTCTGATGTTAAACACACAGTAAAAGACGAGGAGGAAAACAATGTGACATTTTATTTGATCATCACTTTGGGCTCGGTTTCAGTGCTTTTTGTCATCAGCATCATCGTGTTGATTGTAATGCAGTGCTCTAAATCGACAGACTATTCGTCCAAGTATTTACAGGACACAAATTACGACGGGACTATGTGTCACAGCATCCAGTACAGATCTGGAGACAAACGGTACATGTTAGTTGGACCCAGAATGAGTATCGGCTCTACTATAGTCCCGGGCAGTAATGGAAATACTCTAGTGATCCCAGACCGCAGGAGGAGAGATTCTGGAACGGTAAGAATGGTTTATTAAATCTAATTGCAGTCTTTGATTTGGATTCATCATTTATATTTAAATGTATATTATTTTATTGGCTTGCTGCTTCTTTTTTTAGCTTTTGTTGTCTTTTCATGCTTTCATTTGTTTTAGCATGGCTGTTCATGTTCATCAATTTCTAGACTTAAAGGTTTGGGCTGTTTTTTGTTGCTCACGTCATGCTGGATTTCAGAGTTAAATTGAACCAATACAGAGATAATACATATTATCTCCGTGGTCCAACAGAATATATTTTCTTGATGTAGGTGTTTTTGTCAAAAACAAATCCACTCCACGTGGTGTCAGTGTTACTCTAGGGCACTGTTCTGTTACAAGCCCTACCCCATCAGGCGTCATATTTAATGAGAAACAGAACACTGTTTTGTGCAGAGAAGCGGAGCAGTGTAGCCGTGCGTTTGAAGCAGTGGTGACTGATGATTCCATCGTACTTCCTTTTTCGATCATGTACCTGATATCAGAAATTACAAAAGGAAAAGACAGTGTTTCATGAGAAGAGCATCTGTAATCTGAAGTTATTCAATTATATTTATCTGCGATGGATGTCGGAGGACAATGGAGCATACTGCCATGCCGGTGGATTACTCTTTCTTTGCTGTTGTGCGTCGGGAATCTGGTTAGTGCACACGTAAAATACAATGTCCCAGAGGAAGTGAAAGAAGGATCTGTTGTTGGAAATATTGCAAAGGATTTAAGCCTTGATGTCAGTAATTTGGCACACCGTCGGTTTCGTATTGTTTCTGGACCTGACGACGCGCTTTTCCAGGTAAATCAGAACAATGGGGAACTGTATGTCAATAAGAGAATCGACAGGGAGAAGCTATGCGATGGAAACGCTGTTTGTTCGATAAGTTTGAAATGCGTTATTGAAGACCCCTTAGAGGTGCATTACATAGAAATTGAAATTACAGATGTAAACGATAATCCACCCATTTTCCCGAGATCTGAGCAGCAATTTGAAATAGCCGAGCATACGCTTTTGGGAACACGTTTTCAAGTACAAACTGCCAGAGATCCTGATCTGGGAATGAATACGGTTCGACACTATAAATTAAGTCAGAATGAGCTGTTTGATATCGACGTCCGGGAAAGGCATGACACAAAAATACCATTTTTAATTTTAAAGAAAGCGCTGGACAGAGAAAGGCAAGGCAAACATAGACTCATTCTGACAGCCATAGATGGTGGAAACCCACCAAAATCAGGGACTCTTAACATCACTGTTATTGTTCTGGATACAAATGACAATCGGCCCGTCTTCAGCCGCGACTCATATACTGCAACAATCCTAGAAAATGCAGCTCCGGGCGCTGTCGTAATTAAAATAAACGCAACTGATTTAGATGATGGACTGAACGGTGAAATCGAGTTCTCATTAGGCGAAAATTTAGAAGGAAAAATACATGACCTGTTTACGCTTGACAAGAGCACAGGCGAATTACAAGTTAAAGGGAAAATAGACTTTGAGGAAACGGATGTCTTTAAATTAGATGTGCAGGCATCTGATAAAGGCCAGCCTCCTCTGATAGCTGAAGCAGAACTTAGCATTAAAGTCACAGATGTTAATGATAACTCCCCTGAAATTGAGATAACATCTCTTTCTAACGTTATATCTGAAAATGTGAAGCCTGGAACGGCCATAGCCTTAATCAGCGTTTCAGACAAGGACTCGGGTGTCAATGGCAGAGTAATTTGTACATTACCTGAAAAAATGCCATTTGAGCTGAAATCATCATTTAAAGAGAATATGTATTCATTAGTGACAAAGGGGCGTTTAGATAGAGAAGTTACGTCAAGGTATGAAATCACTGTAACAGCCACTGACTTAGGAAAGACACCTTTGTCTTCTTTTAAAATATTATATATACAGGTGTCTGATGTAAATGATAACGCACCAGAGTTTCCACAGAATTCATATGAGCTTTATTTATCTGAAAACAATGTCCCTGGTGCTTCTATATTCTCTGTTACTGCCTTTGACAGAGACTTAAACGGAAATGCTGCGATAGGATATAACCTAAATCAAGGTGATTTGACATCTTTTCTAAACATCAATTCAGAAACTGGGATTATTTATGCGCTGAAAAGTTTTGATTTTGAAACCACCAACACTTTTAATTTCCAAGTTTTTGCCTCAGACTCTGGAACTCCATCTCTGAGCAGTAACGTGACAGTGAACGTGTTTATTCTGGATCAGAACGACAACGTTCCAGTGATCTTATATCCAGTCAGCGCAAACGGTTCTGCTGAGGGTGTGGAAGAGATTCCCCGTAATGTGAACGCAGGTCATTTGGTGACTAAAGTCAGAGCCTATGACGCAGATATAGGATACAACGGCTGGTTATTATTTTCACTGCAGGAAGTTAGTGACCACAGTCTCTTTAGTTTGGACCGCTATACAGGACAGATAAGGACCCTTCGCTCATTCACAGAAACAGACGAGGCCCAGCATAAACTGCTCATACTGGTCAAAGACAATGGGAATGTTTCACTCTCAGCAACAGCGACTGTGATTGTCAAAGTTGTGGAGCCCAAAGAGGCTTTTGCAGCTTCTGATGTGAAAAACGCAGTAAAAGACGAGGAGGAAAACAACGTGACATTTTATTTGATCATCACTGTGGGCTCGGTTTCAGTGCTTTTTGTCATCAGCATCATCTTCTTGATTGTAATGCAGTGCTCTAAATCGACAGACTATTCGCCCAAGTATTTACAGGACACAAATTACGACGGGACTATGTGTCACAGCATCCAGTACAGATCTGGAGACAAACGGTACATGTTAGTTGGACCCAGAATGAGTATCGGCTCTACTTTAGTCCCGGGCAGTAATGGAAATACTCTAGTCATACCAGATCGCAGGAGGAGAGATTCTGGAGAGGTAAGGATAATTTTAAATTTCCTTAGGCTTTCGTAAGTATTTTAGAGTATTTTATTTGGTATTTATGTTGGTATTTATGTCAATGTCAGTAATTAGTATGGCGGTTTGCACAGCTTTTCACAAATTGGACTTTAAGATGTTGCTTACTGTTAGGTACTTTAATTTTTTTGTTTTAAAAAATAAATTCTATTTTATAGTTTTTTAAACAAGCCCTGGTGTCAAAATCACACTCTATGTGTTGCATAGTCTGTGTGCATGTTTATTTATATATATATTATTTTATGTCATTCGTCGTTGAGACAAGAGCTGTCTGTTGCAACATGAAACGTGCAAATATATTTTTTGCCGAATAATAAAACGCCCCCCCCCCCCCCAACAC